GATGCTTTAAGAGGGGAGGACTTCCACTCCCAGAATCCCCCAGCCAGCATCCTTTAAGAGGGGAGAACTTCCACTCCCAGAATCCCCCAGCCAGGATGCTTTAAGACGGGAGGACTCCAACTCCCAGAATCCCATTGCAACCTTCCCCTCACCTGGAACTAAGCCCCCGCCCCCAATTCCCATAGACGAAAGGGAAAGAAACGGATGCTACCCAGGACGAGGGGGCGGCAGCGGCCAAATTCCCCCCACCACCACTTGGCTGGTGGCAAAACGGGGTCCAGCCAGGGAGCCCCCTCCTCAAATCCCCCACCGTTTTCAAACAAAGCCGCTTCTTGCATCGCCTAGTCCCGAACAGCTGCCAAGACAGTCCCGGTCCCCCCGATGTCACGGGAGTTGTGGGTCCCCCAACCTTGAAGGAGACGGGGGGGGGGGACACTGAATTCTGCCCCCTCCCCAATTCCTCAACCGGACCCCCAATTGGAGCAAGAGAAAGGGACAAACAAGTCACTGTCACGCCCCCTTTTTTTCCGTCCATCCCGGCTTTGTCGAAGGGCTGGATGGAAAGACGCAGCCGCTGGGGTGGGGGGTGGGGGGCGTAGGAGACCCTCGCCCCTCTTCCCCAATTCCCCAACCACTGGCCGAGCATTCCCCCCCCCCCAAGTTCTTCACACACACCCCCAAAATCCTGCTTAGGAGCGCCCCACGAGGAAAGGTGGAGGAGGGAACAAAGAAACCGCCCCAAGTTGGATAATCCAGAGCCAGGTGAGAATTGGGGGGGGGGGGGGAGAGAAAGAAGACCCTTCCTCATTTCTACCCCTCCCGCCCCACATTGCAAAGAGAAAGCCTTCTCCCCTCACCCTCGAGTTTGGGGGGGTCAACCTCCAGCAAGGCAAGGCAAGCCCCCTTGAGAAGGGATACCCCCCCCTCCTTCTCCAGTCCAACAGCAGCTCCCGGGGGCGAAGGAGAGGGAGGGGGAAAGGGGTCACTGTCCAAAGCCCCCCACCCACCGCCCCCTACCCACCGTAGGTGCAGTTACAGCAAAAACGGACGATGAGCAGGATCTCCATGGCACCATGGCGGTTATCGGGGGGTCTGTTGGCTCCGGAGGTGGGAGAGCGCGAGAGAAAGAGGAAGGGAAGGCAGAGGAGGGTGAGGGGCTGCTTCCAGACGCCACCAGCATGCCAAGCAGGGAAGCCCCCTCCTCTCTCTCTCTCTCCCTCCCTCTCTCTTTCTCTCTATCTTCCTCTCTCCCTATTTCTTTCTCTCTTCCTCTTCTTCTCTCTCTCTTTCTCTCTCCCCCCTCTTTCTTTCTCTCTATCTTTCTCTCTCTTTCTATCTTCCTCTCTCCCTATTTCTTTCTCTCTTCCTCTCCTCCTCTCTCTCTCTTTCTCTCTCCCTCCCTCTTTCTCTCTCTATTTCTTTCTCTCTCCCTCTCTCTTTCTATCTTCCTCTCTCCCTCTCTCTCTTTCTTTCTCTCTCTCTTTCTCCCTCCCTCCCTCTTTCTTTCTTTCTCTATTTCTCTCTTTCTCTCTATCTTACTCTCTCCCTCTCTATTTCTTTCTCTCTCTTTCTCTCTCCCTTCCTCTTTCTTTCTTTCTTTCTTTCTTTCTTTCTTTCTTTCTTTCTTTCTCTTTCCTTCTCCCTCCCTTTCTCTCTCTTTGTCCCCTCTCCCTTTCTCCCTCCCTCCCTCTTTCTGTCTCTCTTTCTCTCCCTCTCTCCTTCCCCCTCTTTCTCTCTCTCTCTTCTTTCTCTCTCTCCCTCCCTTTCTCGTCCTCTCTTTCTCTCTCCCTTTCCTTCTCCCTCCCTCTTTCTCTCTTTCTCTCTCCCTCTTTCTTTTTCTCTTTCTCTCTCTTTCTCTCCCTCTCTCCTCCCCCCCTCTTTCTCTCTCTCCCCTCCCCCTCTTTCTCTCTCTCTCTCCCTTTCTTTTTCTTTTTCTCTCTTTCTTTCTTTCTCTTTCTCTCCCTCTCTCTCCCCCCTCTCTCTTTCTCTCTCTTTCTTTCTCTCTTACCAGTTCCTGCAACCAAGGATCTCATTCATTCCGACCCCCCACCCCAAAAAAAGACCAGACAGGAAAAGGCAGACAAAGGATGGGGAGACCCCACCTGACACCCCAAAGCACAACTCCTTCCCCACCTCCCACTCCCACCCCACACCCCCAAAAGAGGAGATCAGAAGACGGTTACCTTCCATGGTGACAAAATTGTGAGTCCCTTTGACTTTCAGCTCCTGTAAGACGGAAAAAGTCAGCAAATCCCAGCACGGCAACGGGGGACCCCACCAAAAGGAAGCCCCCTCCCCCATGACAGAGGACAAATTGGGGGGGGACATTGAGGGGGACACCGGCCTCAATTGAAAGATCGAGGCAGTTTTTTCCTAACTTGGTCCTTTTCTTATAATTTCGCAGGGAGGAAAAAAAAAACCAAAATTTAACTAACTCCCAGCCAGCCAAAGGAGTAAGGGTCTCGGAGGGCGCGCCAAAGGGACTTGCAACCACAGGAAACACCAAGAGCTGCAGCCGAGGCCAAAGACACCGGGGCCGTGGGGGGAGGGTTGGACTAGATGACCTCCGAGGTCCCTTCCGACTCTGACTATCTGTTATCTGACAACATTTGCACACAAGTGGAAACAGGGTATGGGAAGGTAGGATGTTGAGAGTCCTTACATATTCAAAGTCCTTATATATTTATATATATATAAATTTAAAAAAGGGACCGAGAAGATGTGCATTTTTTACACGATTGAAAAAAATATTCTGCAACATTTGCAGAATCATAACTGGTAAAATATCCCTTTTGTTGAATCTTATTTTTTAATGCTTTATGGAGTTTTTTTCCATTTATATATAATACCAATACTTATTAGACAGTGCAGTGACCTTATATATACATTTATGTATCCCGTCTAAACTTTCAATGCACAATACTTTCATACCCTCATATCTATTATATACATTATTTACATTTTCTATTCTTAAATCTATTGTCAATCCAAATATACCATGTTTCCCATATTGCATTTTATTCCGTGCCTGCTTTCCCTTTTAATTCCATAGTTAATTTGTCCTTTTCCACGCACTCTAAAATCTATTTTTTTAATAAGGGATGAGGATTCCAAAGCAAATCTGGTATACAGGCGGTCCTCGGCTTACAACAGTTCATTTGGTGACCGAAGTTACAACATCACTCAAAAAAAATTGATTAACAAATCAGGACTGGTTTTTTTCCACTTATGACCACTGCAGCATCACATGATCAAAATTCAAATTTTGGGGCACTGACTTGTATTTACAACGGTTGCAGAGTCCTGGGGGGGTCATGTGATTCCCTTCTGATGAGCAAAGTCAAGGGGAAAAGGCAGTTTCACTTAACGACCGTGTCACAAATTTACCAACGGCAGTGATTCACTTAACAATTGTGGCAAGAAAGGTCGTAACATGGAGCATGCCGGGAGGAAGGAGAAGGGAGTAACTTGGCTTACGAGAGAGGAAGCGGCCATGATTCCCCTCATCGGTTGCAGCTGGGGAGAATAGTATATAAGAGAGACGATTACAACACAGCGTTGCCAGAAGCAAAGCGTGTGTTATTTTGGGCTGAAGTTATCTTGGTTGGCATCCTTCCAACAGACTGTGCCTTGTTATCTCCTTGAAGTTGGTAATTATTTAATCTGGTCCATTGTGGAATTTCCTTCATTGTAGTTTGTTTGAGTTTTTTTTTTATTTCACCTCTATCTGCTTATTAAGTTCGGACTGTATTGCTTTCTTTTGAAGACTATTTTTGAGTACCTTTTATCTTCAACTGAGAATTATTGAACAGTGGGGCTAAGTTGGAGGCATTAAAGGACATTTATTTACATTTTGGATTTTGTTATGTTTGTGTTACACTCCTGGTCATCACACCTAACCTTGGCAACTTGAAGACTGTGGACTTCAACTCCCAGAATTCCTCAGCCAGCCATGTATGGACTTCAACTCCCAGAATTCCTCAGCCATTGTATGGCTGGCTAGGGAATTCTGGGAGTTAAAGTCCATAGTTCTTAAAAGTTGCCAAGGTTGGATGCCTCTGTGTTTAATATTAATAATGACGCTCCTTCTTCTGTTACCAATTTTTAATGCTTTCATTTTCTGTTTTTTTAATTTTAAAAGCTTGTACCACATTATTGTTAATACTGATATCTTTAATAACCAACTTTTTTTTTTTAAAAAAGAAAGATTAATCTCTTGTTACTGGCTCAGCCTCACAAGCTGGTTGCAGGTAGTCCTCGACTTACGACCACAAGGGAGCCCAACATTTTTGTTGCTAAGCAAGACCGATGTTAAGTGAGCTTCCCCCATTTTATGGCCTTTCCTGCCACTGTTGTTAAGTGAGTCACTGCAATCGTTAAGTTATTAAGATGGTCGTTAAGTGAATCTGGCTGCACCCCTGCGATTGACTTTGCTTGTCAGAAGGTCGCAAAAGGGGATTGTGCGACCCCTTTTGAGACCGTCATAACTATGAGTCAGTTGCCAAGCATCTTTTGATCACGTTGCCACGGGGAGGTTGCAGCGGTCATAAGTGTGAAAAGCCATCACAAGTCACTCTTTGCACTTCCATTTTAACTTCAAATGGTCACACAATGAACTGTTGTAAGTCGAGGACTTCCACTATTATGACATTTCACAGGATTTAATAGTCTTCCCTGAAACTCACCTCTGATATTTTCTGGAACTGGGTGTTACCCTGGCTGCATTTTTCAGCGGTCTCTAGTGCAATTTTATAGTTGTCCACAAAAGCCTTGTAAACCCCCAGTTGCGTAGCCTGTGGCAGAGAGAAAGAAAATTAATTGGGAGGAAAACTGTTGGAATACATGTTAGCAGGCGTTTTGTATTGCAAGAACTACATAATTATATTCAGCCAGTAGATGGCAGTGTTTAGTGTGCATCTGTGGTTATAATAATCTATGGTTTCTCTGTGTTCTAAGTAGAGTTTTCTGTTTCCTATTACAGCAAAAACAGTTGAGCAGGAAAGCACATGGTGATTGTACTCTTTGTTTGCTCTGTGGTGCTACATATAAACAGAATTTCTAACAAAAACCATTTTGAAGTCAACAGGAATGAATGCATTCACATGCCAGTTTGCAAAACCAAAGTCATCACAAATTCGTTTAGAGGTCCTTGATTTACAACAGTTTGTTTAGTGACCGTTGAGAGTTAGAATGGCACTGAAAAATGTGACTTATAACCGTATTTTCACAGTTACAACCTTTGTAGCATCTCCATGATCATGTGTTAACTTTTGCCAAATTATGACCACATGACTCTGGGGATGCTGCCATGGTTATAAGTTTGAGGACCAGTCATAAGTCAGTTTGTTTCAATGCTGTTGTAAACGATCACCAAACAAGTAGTTGTAAATTGAGGTCTATCCATAAAGCAAATCAACAAGCCAAGTCCATGGGGAATCCATATTCACTTAAGAACCATTATAAACTTAACAATTGCAGTGATTCACTTAACAACAAAGAACAGGAAAGGTTGCAAAATGGGGCAAAACTCACTTAACAACTGTCTGTTTAAGCAATGGAAACTTTGGTTTTCAATTGTGGGTGTAAATTGAGGACAACCTGAATACTGAAATTGATTTTGTTCCTGTTGTATAATTTTAACTGCTGTTTATTATTGTTTGTTCACATTTTTATTAGGGTTGGATGTGTCTCAACAGAGAAGCGTTATAAATAATTTTTTTGTTTATTTCTCCATCTGGTAAGGCTGGTTTTCGAGCGAAATAATCCACTTTTTCTGTATCCTTCTTAAGGATGGAACTCAGCTCTTGCTTACAAAATATCTCCATTTTTTTCAAAAAAAAACCCATCTTCAACGTGTCAGGAAGCCATGATAGGCAAGACACAGTTCAGGTAGTCCTCAATTTACAAGAGTTCCTTTAGTGGCGGTCGTAAGTGTGAAACATGGTCACAACTCCAACTTTTTTTCAGGCCCCTTGTCATTTTGAATGGTCACTAAATGAACTGTTGTAAGTCGAGGACTACCTGTCAATACCAGGTTTTGGCCAATATACTGTATATATTGAAATGAGATCACACAACTGTTGGAGTTAACTTAAAATCCAACTCAACAGGTAGTCCTTGACTTACAATGATCCATTTAGTGACTGCCATTTGTCAGAAATGGTGTAGGGTCTCATGCTTGGGCAGAGGGTTGGACTAGATGACCTACAAGGTCCCTTCCAACTCTGATTATCTGTTATTTATTATCTGACTGTCCAAAGTTACCATGGCAATGAAAAAAGCGACTTATTATGACCTTTTTTCATACTTACAAGCGTTGCAGCATTCCCCGTGGCCACGAGATCAAAATTCAGCCGCTTGGCAGCTGACTCATATTTATGACGCTTGCAGAGTCCCGGGATTGAACAGTCACTAAATGAACGGTTTGTTGTAAACTGAGAACTATCCGTACAGGTAGTCTGTACATATAATAGTTCGTTTAGTGACCGTTCGAAGTTACAACGGCAGTGAAGGATGTGACTTACGACCATTTTTCACAGTTACGACCAGCATCCCCCTGGTCACGTGATCAAAATTTGGATGCTTAGCAACTGACTCATATTTATGACAGTCCTAGTGTCCAAGCGTCAACGTGATCCCCTTTAGTGACCTTCTGACAAGCAAACTCAATGGGAAAGCCAAATTCACTTAACAACCGGATTACTAACTTATCAACTATGGTGATTCACTTAACAACCATAGCAAAAAAGGTCATAAAATGGAGACAAAACTCACTTAACAACAAAAATTATTGTACTCAATTGTGGTTGTAATTTGAGAACTATCAAAACCAGAATGAGACTTTACACTCACATTTTTCTAACAAAAACATGAGAATTTACAGTCTGAGAACCAACTTTGCAGATCCCCGGACAGTTAATTCCGTATGGTATCGGTTGACTTTTACAGCATAAATCTATTTTATACAAGTGATCCTCTTTATTTCTGCCAAAAAAGGCCTTTTAATAAATATTAGCCTTTTCCTCTAGAAGTTCACCTCAGAAATTCCCTTTCTAAAACAAAAGGCTAAAGTATTTTAATGGTTGCGTTGAGACAAACGAGTTCTGTGTATTTCATTTAATGTCCCGAGAAGCTACGTTTCTGAGGAAAAATGCTTTGGAAATCTACTTAAAAAACAAAACAAAAGAGGTGGACATATTTAAAATTGTAGACTAAAAGCTCTACTGAATGAAAGGAACAGAAAATCTGGATTAATTTGTGTGAAATATTCAGATTAAGTAAAATCTAAGAGCATGTTTCTCAACTTTGGCCATTTTAAGAGGGGTGGACTTCAACTCCCAGAATTCCCCAGCCAGCCATGGGAGTTGAAGTCCCCCATCTTAAACCATCCTGACTAGGGAATTCTGGGAGTGGAAGTCCCCCCTGACTAGGGAATTCTGGGAGTTGAAGTCCCCCCCATCTTAAAATGGCCAAGGTTGAAAAACATTGGTCTAAAATAACTTGATGGTGTTTTATCTATGGTTTGTCCACCATGGGACAATTTTCAAAGCATATTCAAAGATTATAAACCAGAAAATTCTGCATTTTTTAATCTATCTTTAGAAATTCTGATTCTCTGGGGAAAGAAAATATGGGCATCCTATCAATCATGTGTTTTTATTTCCGTGGGATTACTGTGGTGTTTCCAGCGACACCCCCCCAAAATGCCAAGAATATTTATTCGGCGATTCCCTATATATATATATATAGCAAGTCCCCAGTTTACGACCATTCATTTAGTGACCGAAGTCACGACACCAAAAAAAAAAAGTGACTTTGGATCGGTCCTCGCACTTACGACCATTGCAGTATCCTCCCCACAGCCACGGGATGAAAATTCACACGCTTGGCAACTGACTCGTATTTATGACTGTCGCAACGTCACCTGATCCCCTTTTGCGACCTCCGGTCCATTGGGAAGCCAGATTCACTTAACAACGCTGTGATTGCCTTAACAGCTGCAGTGATTCACTTAATGACGGCAGCAGGAAAGGTCGCAAAACGGGGTGGAATTCGATGCCCATCTGGATGGAAATTCTGGGCTCCATTTTGGTCGTCATTCGAGGACGACCCCATATTGCATTAAGCCGCAAATGATGGCCAAATGATGGTTCAATTTGAACTAAGCCCAAACTCAACCCAGAAGGGGTGCAGAGCTTGCTGGATTTTTTGAGGGGCAGGGGGGGTCCCAGATCCCCTTTGTGCCAGGGGGAATCCCTGAGATTATCCAAAAGGTTCAGCGGATTCGAGAACTGGTGGGAACCGAACTCACCAGCTTCTGGAAAAGATGTCCCAGGACCACCTCGCTATCCCAATGCTGCAGATGTGGCCAGAGGTTGTCGTACATTTCCTTGTGGATCTCGTAGAGATCCTGGATCTTGTAGAAGATGGTTTCGATCTGCTGGATGCTGAGGACAGGCTGGGAGGTGGTGGCCGTGGCTCTCAGGGGCTTCATCGGCTGCAGGGGGAGGGGGAGGAAGAGCCATCAAACGGGGTGGGGGGGACAACTCCTGGGATCTCTCTCTCACACACACACACACACACACACACAAACACCAAGGGTGTGTCTTGTTCGGTTGACTGATTTCTTGAGATTTAGCTTCTCCCCGGGAGCACAAGCTGGCTTGTATTTTGGGGGGGGCAGGAGGGGCGGGTGTCTCCAAACGTGGTCCCTTTAAGACTGGTGGACTTCAACTCCCAGAATTCCTCAACCAACTACACTGAATTCTGGGAGTTAAAGTTAAAGCTGTTATATTAGGATCGCCCTTGTTTTAATCCCCACAACAATCCTGTGAGGCAGGCTGGGTGGAGAGACAGAGAGAGAGAGAGAGAGAGAAAGGAGAGACAGGGAGGGAGAAAGAGAG